CCGTATTTAGTTCGTTAATTTGGGCTTGTAGTTCTTGAGGACTATTAGCAATTAGGACTATGTCATCAGCGAATCTAAGATATTCTCTATCTATTTTTAATCCTTTGTTAGTCCAGTCGTCCTGGACTATCTCTGTCTAGTCGTCCTGGACTATCATCCTTGCTAGTCCATTGACCGAAGATTTCTTCTAGCCTGACTGTAAACAGCTTTGGGGATATTGCATCTCCCTGTCGTACTCCTTTGCCAGTTGAGAAATCTGTTTTTTTATATATTACTAGCGTGTACCAGCGACTTCGTTCGCGTCGAATTAATCATTTGTAATGGTGATGATAAAGCAAAGCAAGAATTTCCATTACATACAAACTGGATAAAATTTTCTCACATTTATGTCAGCATGAGAAAAAACAATATGGCGATATTATTATATAACTTATTGTATTATTTGAGGGGTAGTCTCATTTGGTTGGAATTTGACTTTCGAAAAATCCGTTTGCCACAAATAAGCTTTTTACGTCAAGCAGTTTAAGCAGAATCGTGGTTAATCAATTACACAACTTTTTGAAACATCCTGTATGATTTTTTTAAAAATTTCAAAATATGTAAAAAAACAAATAAATTATGCTTGTCCAAGAGTTTTCCCGAAAGACTAACCGTTTTTTAAATGACAAATATTGTAATATTTGAGGGGCGTTTTCACCCTCTTGGAATTTGAGATTCGACAAACCCCTCCTTATGGAACCTCTACACCCCACAGTCAGTCCGTTTGACAAAAATCAGCTTTAAACGTCAAGCAGTTTAAGCAGAATCGTGATTACTGAATGGTCATATTTTATGAAACACCCTGTATAAATTTATAAAAAATCATAAAATATGTAAAACAACAAAATAAAATATACGTGTTTAAGAGGTTTTTCGAAAAACTCACCGGTTTTTAAATAAAAAATATTTTTGAGGGATAATTTCACCCCCTTGTAGTTTGAGCAGGATCGTGATTAATCAGTATGTCAGTCACTTAAGGATTTTATATATTAGTATAGATTACTCTTGCTTTGGCTTCCTTGTATATATTGGCGAGAGTTTCTATATCCTATATCTATATTCTAAGGCCGATTCTGCCAATTCTGGTATATGGTATATGGTGCTCTTTGTAGATGAAAACATTGACAGGCGCCTGCTGCATTTTTTTACGAATTTAATATACACTCCCAATTGAACTACCAAAACTGATTTTTTTGGTTCTTAACTTTAAACTTTTCTTACTTAACTATAACCTATAACATAGCTAATACTTTAACCTATAAGCCTAGAATACAGATATAGTTACAAACACAATTATGATTTATTAATGACCTGTCATTTTTATAAATGTATTACCCGGCGTCTAGTCTAGCAGACTTTTATCTGTAAACATGTATTTATTTAATAATAATTGATAAATATCTCCTAATAATTACTATTTTGTCGTCGAATGCTAGAAGATTATACAATAGATTTTTAAATCTTGAGGTAGATGGAGGAAGATCCAATAAAAACCATTCGCCATTTGCATATATACTGGACTATAAATTACAAACTTTATTACTTGTTACAAAGAAAATAAAACATATTTTTATAGGTTTTTAGTTTTATATGACATCTTCTCGTCGTAGGAAACGCTGGCAAAATATTATAGGTCATTATAACTTTTAGTAGGTATATACAGGTTCATTGTTAGAAAACAAATCTTCTACACAAAGGACCATAAAAACATAGACAGTAAAATAAAACCATTTTAAAATTAATTTTGGTCTTAGAGTTTGCAAATTTTTTAACAGTATCCTATTAACAATTTAATAACAAATTGTAATTATAAAAATTAAAAAAGAATAAAATACATTATTGTAAACAAATACCAACCCTGTATAATAATAATGTTAAATCATAGATATTCAAAATATTTTTCGAGATATGCAATTAATAGTATGTCTTTTAATTTAGTTGCTCTTGATTATTAGGTATTTATTTATAGATAACACTTATTTTTCAATTTAATGCTTATTAAATATAAATTATGTTAATCGTTTTTGTAAGTTAGACATCCAAAATATGAGTATTTTGTAAGCGATATCAGCTTAGAATATTTTAATTTATTATTGAAAATAAACAAATAAATAAAAATACTATAAGTCTTATGATGTCGGACATTCATAAGGACGTCATAAGGAAACTGCAGGGCGCACAAAGCTCAATGGAACGAAATATGCTGGGAATAAGCAAGAGAGACCGTAAAAAAATAAAGTGGATACGACAAAAGACCCAGGTAATAGATGTCATTCACAGAGTCAAATCACTCAAATGGCAATGGGCAGGACACCTGGCTAGAAAAACAGACAATAGATGGGCCACAAAAATTACAGCATGGTACCCACGAGGAATTAAGAGACCTAGAAGAAGACCGAATCTGAGATGGGATGATATTAGGAAATTATCAAGGATAAATTGGGCCCGCATAGCCAACAATAGACAATAATGGGCCTAACTACAAAGAGAGTATCTAAATATGCGAGGGAGGCTACACCATAACTGGAAATGGTTGAATAAGCTGAAAATGATGATGATGATGACTATAAAAGTCAGAAAATACAGTTTACCAGTTAATTAAAATCACAGGCAACAACTGTCATCGTCATATTTATAATATATTCCTTCTTCTCTCGTTGGTCAGACTTATCGTAAAAAATAATATCGGCTTTGATTTTTACAGTTTAAAAAATCTGATGTACTTTCTCATATGAACGTATATCTGTCATTAGCCAAGGCATGCTTGATATTAGTTTTTACTTTCTTTATAATTGATTTTATTTATTCTTTTATATTTAACAATACTCAATGTAATTTTTTAAAAGATAAATCCATATAAATTCATCTATTTTTGAAATATTTCTGAATTTAATATAAAGGTATTATTATTATTATTAATACTATGAATACTAAAAACATATACAGGTGTAACAATTTGAAAATGTAGCAGTCAAAAGAATATTAAAAAAAATATTATCGGGAAGATCTAAAATAACGAGGAAATGGAGGGGAACATTGGTTTCCCCGTTATCCATTTGAGACCTTTACCTTCACACATTTTCTTGCTTAAAGAGAAAGTGAAAATTATTAGTTTTCAAATGTTATTTTTAAATACCGATATCTCAAGAAGAAACCGTCAAGATTTTGGCATAACATAGTACAAGGGTGATAACCTTTTCGTGTGTTTTATGGGGCTTCTACTTAAGGGGTAGAGATACAAAGATGTGGTTTTCACATTAGTTTTATTGTTTCCTGAAATACCAGGGCGGATTTCGACTCCCTTCGTATCCCTGCTATCTTATAACTTAACAAAAAGGTGTAACCTGATTTCAGTAGAATTTTTTACGTAGGATCCAATGGCGTAACTACCATTTTGCTGAGAGTTAATGTTTTCAAAATATAAATGAAACTTATATATTTTATAAGCACACGTATACCGGGTGCGTCTCAAAGGTGGCTTACCCCTATATCTTTTTTATTTTTTCAGTATCATACACTTGGTATATTTCGAGTAAAATTTTTGTTACGAACTGCAAGTTATAATTTCAAATAAACCATATGCGAAAATGTCAAAAGTTGTATTCTATTCAAATTATTTTCTATCGAATGAAGTAAAAAAATATCAAGGGTGCCTTTTAAAAATCAGAAGTTCCGGTCATTTCCGGTGAAACAGGAAGTGACCGAAAACAACTGAATACGTCAGTCAATTGTATCAACAATCCTAATTTATGTCATATGCTGACATACCAAATCTCGTTTTTTTAACTGAAAAATTAAAAAAGTTACGGGGGTGAGTCACTTTTGAGACGCACCAGGTATAATTTTTAGTTTATTTGCATGATTATGAGATGTGTAAAAATATAATATATTCTATACTTATTTTTTTGTGCAGCTTTTAGATAACACGCTGTTAATCAGAGTTATTGATATGTTTGATCCATACTTGTGCAATAGTTCTACACACAGAAACTAGCGTGTGATAGCCAATAACCAAAATTTCAAATCGCATAAATTATTTGATTGTTTTGATTGTCTAATTTAAACCGATCGCCTATGTTAAAAAGTCAAATAAAGCATTTTTACCTTGTTTATGAATATAAGTATAATGCACACAGTGTTAGAAATAATATACAGTGTATCCCATTTAAAAAAAAATAAGTTTGAGCCATATTTCAAGAATGACAGCTCCCAGCGGAAATGTAGTTACGCCGCTGGATTCTATGTGAAAAACTTTATGGAACACAGTTTCGATCAGTTATTTATAAGATACCTGAAATACGAAGGGGTCAAAAAAAGGAAGATTCTGAAATTTGTTCTAGCATTTTTAGTTCCTGTAAAACACGAAATGGGACATCCTGTACAGAGGAAGACAACAAACAAAACGGGGACGCTACTTTATAAGGGGTGGGGCGGAGTCAAAAAGTATCTCATTTTAGTTTCTCCTCCAAACCTTCGATAGGTCCTTAGATACTCGTACTTCGATAAAATATGTATGGAAAAATGTCTAAAATGCCAGTTTTGGGAATTATTTGACGCGTATTCATGGCCCCCAAAAATTTTGTAAATTTTAGAGTTTGTAGTAAAATTTATGGTCCTTTTAGAATTTATAATCACTTAGCACAAAATTGATTTTTCGAATCCTTGTTTTTAAACGTATGGCAAGGTAGTTAAATCTTTGTTTACATCATAAAAACCATAAAGCAACCACCCCCTGAATTTTTTCGCCCTTATTCATTTACACTCTGTATATTTTCTAAAAGATGACAATTTTGTGAATATCTATATTATGTTGCTGTAAATCGCCACAAAAAAAGTACGCTTCTTCTCCAGTCTCTGGATATTGAGTCAACTGTCAACCGATGTGCAGCACGACTTTACGGTATACAGTACACAAACTGTTCACTGGCCCAGAGGTACCCGTAGTGGTGGTGGTACTTCGATAAGAACTCTTCCTTTCTTGTAATTGTCGCTAGTGTTCGCAGAACTGCCTCGGTGTTGTCGTTGTGTGATTGTCTCGTGTGGCGGCTCTCCGAGGATACTGCCTGCCTGGCCTTGTTCGTGGCGAAATACGATCCATAGATGTGTGGAATAATTGTTGGCGCCGAGGAACGGGTAACGCAGAGCTACCATTGGACGTTCTCGATTAGATACTTGAAAAGCCGATCTCAGACACTGAAGGTACTCCTATGCTCTTTCACACATTTTTTACCCTAATTTTTTACATTTATTCTACTGTTTTGAAATAAATAATTCCGATACTATCTCTATTTAATCTTGGACACACATGGATTTAGTTTTTTGGTCCCATTTTTCATAGAATTGTGCCAGAGACTCTTCCACACATTTTTTTATCTAATTTTTCACATTTATTCCACTGTTTCGACATAAATACCTCACATACTATCAAATCTCTTTACACAGGATTTTTAGTTTTTTAACCCTATTTTTGCAGAATTGTACCAGAAACTTGAAAGGTACTATCAGGCCCTTTCGCATATTTTTTAATTATTTTTTGACCTTATTTTTCCACATTTATTCCACTGTCGAGAAAAAATACTTCTGATACTATCTAATCTCTTCGGAAATTTGTATTTTTTTTTCCTATTTTTTTGTAGAATTGTAATACTGCTTTCAAAAAATACCTAAATAAAAGTAAACTACAGTCAGGTTTGTATACAAAGTACTGACTGCCTATCAGTGGCGTAGCTACACCTCCGCTAAACCCTACGGAAGCGGGGGGCTCGTTGATACACAGGGCCCCGACCGTGTAATTAAAAACTTAAGATATTGTGGACAGAGAGGCACAATGTTGAAAGATGCGGGGAAGCCCAAAATTTCTAGTTACGCCACTGCTGCCTAATCTTATTGATACCATTTTTTTTATTCTATTTTTTCAGTTTTATACCACTGTTTAATTCAAATAGCCAAAAGGAAATAAATTATAATTAAATTTTAATACGGCACTGTCTATACTCTATTCTAATTTTTAACTCTGTGCTCTATTCATTTGGAAGACGAAGTAATAATATACCCATACAGGGTGCGTCTCAAAAGTGGCTCACCCCTATAACTTTTTTTATTTTTTCAGATAAAAAAAACGAGATTTGATACGTTAGTATATGGCATAAATCAGAATTGATTGATGTATTCACTTGTTTTTAGTCACTTCCTGTTTCACCGGAAATGAAATTGTACCCTCAGTATATTTTTATTTTATTCGATAGAAAATGACTCTCTGAATAGAATGACGTATGATATGTCAACTTTTGACATTGTCACATTATTTTCGCCGATTTTCGGTTTATTTAAAATTGTAACATGCAGTTTGTAACGAAATTTTGACTTGGAAATACCAAGGGTGTGGTATCAAACTATTCGTTGTATCAAACTATTCGTAAAAAAGCTTTTTCCAAATATGCTAATGAGCCACCCTCGTTATATTTGGAAAAATTGAGAGATGGTTAAAAATATGATTTGAGCATTTTTAACCGGCCAGGACAAGACACGAAAAATATTAAACGAGCAAATTTATTTTTCTACGGCTCCTTGATTAAAAATTAGTGTTTTTAACACATTCTAGATTGAAAATTAAAATACGATGTTTTTTCTAAGCGAGAATGTCAAATGTTGACATATGGTATGTCATTCTGTTCAGAATGTCATTTTTTATCGAATAAAAAATACCGAGAGTGCCATTTAAAAATCAAAAGTTGTAGTAGATAATTTCCAGTGGAACGGGGAGTGACTGAAAACAATTGAAAACGTCAATCGATCCTAATTTATTTCATATACTAATATACCAAATCTCGTTTTTTATCTAAAGAAATAAAAAAGTTATAGGGGTGAGCCACTTTTGAGCCGCACCCGGTATATCTCCCAAAAATAGTAAACATCGCCGTAAAATTTTGAAAATGCCAGCGTTTGTAGCTGGCTCTCTCGTGGAGTGATTCCTGACATAAAAATAAGATTTAGTTTTCATATCAGCAAAGGTCCGATTCTGCTTTGTTTCGTAGCTATAGGGTGTTAAAATCTTAAAATTTTTTCGATTTATTATAATTTTCTTCCAAGTACCTTTAGCGTTTCGAATGAAATTTTATGGGTTATCACTGGAATATTTTTCTAAAATAAGCATGTACCCCACTGACTTTTTTCCTCTTTTTAGCGAAATAGTGTAAGCAGTAATGCCGATTAAAAGTTGTCTCTTGATATTTTGTCGATTTTGGCCTCCTTGATGAGATAAATGCAATTTTATAAATTTCTTTCCTCATCAAAAATATGAAAAAACGTTCCTATAAACATGGGTATGGAAATGCATAGTTTATTAGAGTTATAGGATGTTAAACTTCTATATAAAAATGTTTTTATATAGTAGGCAACTCTTTGCCTAACATCTATTACTAGTACTTACAAGCTTAAACAGCATAAATGTTCTTGAATTGTACCGTATGATCGAAAAAAAAACTGCGGCAGTGATGTCTATGAAATGAATATCGCTGTTATATATGTAAAATTATATAGGGATTGCCATCGATAGTCATTTGCAAGCCAACTGGACGCCGTTTTTTTTCGACCATATGGTATCTTATATTTAATTTAATTTTATTTTACTCCTTGACAAACACCTATTAAGGTAGCTACATGTAAAGGCCTAAAGGAAACAAATACAATCACAATTACTTTATTAAAACTAAGAAAAAAAATCAACATGTACTTCGAACCTACAAAAGTATACATAATATTTAATTTATAATTGGTCAATAATAGGAGTTCTATCGATCAGTGAATTAACCAAAATCAACACTTTTTTGCTAAAATATGATCGCTACCAAAGTAACTCAGTCAATCCAAAATACTTTTAGATATTTGTTTACTTATAAAATGACATACTTTTATTATATCTATTATATCTGTCTTATCGTTCTATTGATTTTCTCCAACAAGCTGCAAATACAAAAATCCAATTTATCTCTATTGTATTATAATGTATTGATATTGCTATTGGATAATAATAACAATTAATAATATCAAAAGTTTAGTGTACAACGAGATAAAAGTTTTAATTATACTTCACACGTCGATATAAAAACAATATCAAGTTTGTTTAAATAAATTAGAGCATAAGAATAAAGAATAATATTTATTTATCAACACTATTAAATAAATGTTGATCTAGGAAGGCTATGGAAATAAATATACGAGGGTGTCCTACAACAAAAATTGTGTTAAAATCATTAATGTCTTTGGTTATAATAGGTGTTTTCGAGATATCTTTAAACATTTGCATTATTCATGTTAGTTTTGCGGATTAAGATAGGATATATTTAGGTTTTGTGGATTGTTGACTGTCCGGTGTACGAGGAATTCAAAAATGTACAGATGCTACTGTATACGTTTTAAATGTATTAGTTTGTTTTCATCAAAATCATCGAGCTAAAAATATGATTTGGCCTGCTTAATTTATTCAATAACATATTTACAAAATTCGGTTACTTTCTCGTAGCAAACATGTGTATTTTATTTATTTATAACTCTTTTTTTTCTAAACTCTTTTAATGAAATCATTACCTATATTTGCCATTTTCTTTGTAATATTTTAATTAATTGATTGAGAGACAGACGATTGATAATTCTGAACAGTTCTTGTTATACGGAGTATTTCAAAAAACATGTGCCATCTCTCGTGGGGAGATTCCTCACGTAAAAATAAGATTTATTTTTGATATCAACATAGGTCCGATTCTGCTTTGTTTCGTAGCTACAGTGTGTTAAAGACTTAATATTTTTTTGATTTATTCTAATTTTCTTGCAACTACCTTTAGCGTTTCGAATGAAAATTTGAGGGTAAAAGTTACTATAACTGCGATATATTTTAAAGCTTAAAATGTGTCGATATATAACCAGGGACGTGCATATGGTTTATCACTGGAATATTTTTCTAAAAAAAAGCATGTACGCCACTGACTTTTTTTTCTCTTGTTAGCGAAATAGTGTAATCAGTTTATTGCCGATTAAAAGTTGTCTCTTGATATTTTGTCGATATCAGCCTCCTTGGTGAGACAAACGCAATTTTATTAATTTGCCTTTATCCAAGTCTAATAGCAAACCTTTAAAAAAAATAAACTTGTGAAAGTTTTAAATAAGTACTCCATTGATTTCCCACCAAAAAATATAAAAAAAGGTTCCTATAAACATGGGTATGGAAATGCATAGTTTTAAAATTACAGGATGTTAAAACTTTTTAAAATTAGGTTTTTTTGTAATTATCATAAATACCATTATTTTTTTACTCCAAATTGCTGTAGGTTGGACTAGTAGTAATAATAACTAATAGTAATAATATTTAATAATAAAGAAGAGGTAAAATATATAACTTATTTATTTTATTTTTCTTTAAATTTTATTAATTCTGATTATTATTTTTTTTAAATTGCTTTTTTCTCATCAAGGTGGCCGAATTCGACAAAATATCAAGAAATAACTTTTAGTTGGCATTAAACGACCTACACAATGTTGATATTAAAAAAGTCAGTGGCCTACGTGCTTTTTTTAGACAAATATTCCAGTGATAACCCATATGCACGTGTCTAGTGAATATGTCGACACTTTTTTAGCTTTAAAATATGTTGCATTTATAGTCACCTTTACCCTCAAAAAGTACCTGGAAGAAAATGATTATCGAATGATTACTAAGAATTTAACACTCTGTAGCTACGAATCAAAGCAGAATCCGACCTATGTTGATATCAAAAATAAATCTTACTTTTACGTGAGGAATCTCCCCACGAGAGATGGCACATGTTTTTTGAAAATCCCTGTATTAATCAGAATGGTCGAATTTTTCTTTAACGATAAGTCATATCACACTAAAGTGAGTAAAAAATGGTCAGTCTAGATCACAGCTTATTCAGCACCAGCTGAACATCTTCGCTTCTTCTTTGCGAGTATTATTATTTTAGAGTATCCTCGTGTCACCTAATCTTACTATTCTCATACATACGAGTATACCAGCAGTCAGAGCATGAGTCTCGTTCGTTTTTTTTTTTCATAAAACTTCCAAGGAGCTCGGAACCCGACTTGGTACATAACATATCTACTACACTACATGTATCTAGGCACACCTTATTCAGTACCAGCTGATCATCTTCTATATTCTATCTATATAAGTCAGGAGGCGGTGATAAATTATTGATCTAGATTAAATATCTGCTTTAGAACTGCACATGAACTTAAAGTGTTCGATGGAGATCGAATAATACATGTCTATTTACTTGGTTTCAAGTTCAGGAAATCTCTTTTTGAAAATTGAAGATAATTTCTTTAAAAAATAATTCCGTATGATCGAAAAGAAGGGCGTCCATTTGGCTTGGAAATGAACATCGATGACATTCCCCATATAATTTTACTATAAAATGACCGCGATCTTTTTTTCGATTATATTGTAGATTAATAATAGAAACTTAACAGATACAACAGTGGAGTACTACGGTATTTTTATTATATCATATTTAGCTTTAGGGTTTCATTTTTGCTCCACAGTATTTAAAATATTTTAGGCGGAAAGTATACTCTCGACTGACTAGTGAGAAAGAAAATCTAGGATTTAGTTGGGTTGCAGTCGGAAGGGTTTGACAAAGAATTAATACATTTTGTTAATTGTCAAGTTTTCGGAATTTATTTATTCCTTCCTCAGGACACTAAAATGGAAATACATGTTAGACAATTATTGTTCTAAAAGTTAAGAGTAAAAACTTACTTAACGTGGTACAGAAAAGACCTTCATAAAAAACTACATTAAACATCGTTTGTGTTGATAACTCCACCGTGAAACATCGCTGACCAGTCAACCACAAAAAAGGGGGGAAGAGGACTCTTATAGGGCGGTTAAGTCAATGTTCTAAATAAATATCAGGCGGCTTAACCGCCCTATAAGAGTCCTCTTCCCCCCTTTTTTGTGGTTGACTGGTCAGCGATGCTTCACGGTGGAGTTATCAACATAGTTTTTTATGAAGGTCTTTTCTGTACCACGTTAAGTAAGTTTTTACTCTTAACTTTTAGAACAATAATTGTCTAACATGTATTTCCATTTTAGTGGCCTGAGGAAGGAATAAATAAATTCCGAAAGCTTGACAATTAACAAAGTGTATTAATTCTTTGTCAAACCCTTCCGACTGCAACCCCACTAGATCCTAGATTAAAATATTTTAGGTAGTTAAGAAATAATATTAATTCAAGTAGAATATAGCAGTAAGTGAACACGCTTTGTCTGTATTTCTTTATTTTGTTCTTTATAACATATGTCATGTTGTAAAGGCTGGACCGACATACCAGTACTAGTTTATTTTATGACCGTATATACGGCCATTTTAATATGTGGACTTATTCGTCATGCCTGCTTTTACTACTGCTATATTTAATTAAAATTTAAGTTGTTATTGTTTATTTCTTTGTCTGTTTATCTAATTTCTTTATTTTTATTGTTGCAGGCTGCGATTCCCCGAGATCCGAGGACACAGAAAAAATTGTAACATCTTTAATTATGCATACTAGTATAGTTCTAGTATTAATTATAAGCTTTATGCTACCTCTCAACTATGAGGTTTACGGATAGTAAGTATACATTTTATCATAGTAGAATGTATAAAATGCAATATAAGTAATATCAAATTATATGTTTATTTTTTTATTAAAGCTCCGAATTGTATAATTTGAGTTGTGAAGCATTTCTGTATGAGCCATATACTTTTTCGTTTACCTTCTCTAGCAAAATAAATAATGATTTGGCATTTACTTTTGTTATTCAAAGAAAAGCAATTATATTATTATTGTGTTTTAATTAGTATCTATAAAAGAGTTGTATCTTCTGTTGTACAATAAAGAAAGTCAATTCCTCAGCAGAGCTGCAACAAGTCAGTTTCAAAATTACTTAAATCCTAAGTCATTTCTACAATCAAGATGATTTAAAACGTAAGTTAATTTCAAGATGAAGTTTAAAGGATTTAAATCTTAAGTCTTTGACTTAAATGATTTTCTTTCAAGTCAAGTCATTTTCGTAAAGACTTTAATCAATATAATGTAATTTAAGTCATGACTTAAGTTTATATTTTTAGTCTATATATAACTCGTAAATCATGATGATCTGCGAGTCGGCAAAATGAATTAAATCAAAATAATTACCGTTAAGTCAAGACTGCGAAAATTCAATTTAAGTACCTATATTTTAATGTTAAATAAACAGGTATGGTAGGCTATTAAGATCGACAAAAAAAAGTTTTTTTAATTTCACTCAAAATGAGTTATTTGGGTCATAAATGAAAATACAAAATATTTTCATGGTGTCTGTCCGTCTGTCTGTCTGTAACACGATAACTGAAAAACCGCTAAACCGATTTTAACCAAATTTGGCACAAAAATACTGTGGCACCCGAGAATATGGTCATTAGTTTTTGGTGGGGGGTTGGTAAGGGGTTATGGGAGTTGTTGTATGTAAAATTTCACTCAAAATGAGTTATTTGGGTCATAAATGAAAATACAAAATATTTTCATGGTGTCTGTCCGTCTGTCTGTCTGTAACACGATAACTGAAAAACCGCTAAACCGATTTTAACCAAATTTGGCACAAAAATACTGTGGCACCCGAGAATATGGTCATTAGTTTTTGGTGGGGGGTTGGTAAGGGGTTATGGGAGGGGGTTAAACATTTTACAAATCGTAACTCCAAAATTACAGTATCTAGCGAAACGCGGTTTTCAATTTAAGATTAGGAATAATATTTGCAACAAAATTTGCAATAAAATCAAAATCAATCAAAGTCGCAGTTTTTGAGATATTCCGTGTTTCCGTAGTCCGTTTTTGAGAAAATCCGTGTGGAGAACTCCAAACTCCCATCGGACGCGACCCCAGGTGGCGGATAGGGGAAATAACCACGGAGCAAAATTGGAAAAATTCCTTTACTTTGAAACTAAAAGAACTGCCTACCAACTTTTTATTAACATATTTTAGTATGGGCGGCTAGACGTGCCTCCCGGCGCCAATTTTTTTTATTTAAATGTAACCGTTTTTGTAGATGTCATCGAATACATGCCCATTAAAAAATGGTGATATGTTTGTATGTACTATGTCGATAGCATAATCTAAGGACTGGAAGATTTTAAGGTATTCTTAAATATATTCGCGATCAATTTCTTTCGTTCGTCTTTCGGGCTACATAATTGAGTCGGGGATTCATTTCAATTGTATTGAGTATTGTTTTTTATCGGCTGCCTGGCTGCCATCTAAAAAAAGAAATGCTACCCACTATTAAACATGTATCAAAAAAATATAAACATCTGACTTCAGTCTTTTATAAAAAGACTTAAATCTTTTTCTATTTGGGAATAAAGATTTAAATCGCAAATCGTTTTGAAAAAGACTTAAATTTTAAGTCTTAAGACAGCTTTCGGAAAATGACTTAAGTCATTAGAATTATTTAAATCAAAAAAATATTCTCTGAGCTTGCAGCCCTGTTGGTCAGTGAAGTCCTATTCCTTGGACCTTGAAAAAAACTCTGTATTTTGATATAAATATAGTGATTAAAATAAATAGCAACATTAATATATTTGCAAAAGACAAAATAGGAAATTTGACACAATTTAATCACAGTACAGTTTTAATCACGAAGACATTAACTTTCTTGAGTGTATATGTTTATCATTAAATAACTCGATTTCCTTTACTGTGTATCACAAGTTAAAGTCTGTTTTAAATACTGCTTTTCATAATAAATTTTGAATAATGCCATTTTTTTAGTATTTTATTAACCAAGAACTCCGATTTTTAAGTATTTTTAGGTTCCAGTTTCTTTAACTGCAAATATGACAAAATAGAAAATTATTTTTATAAATTAAACAGTGATTGGTGTTCTTTGAAACCTTAAATAAGTTTATGAATTCTGCGGACTTTCTTATTACTCAACCTATACGTCCTAATTCAAATCGTACATTGAACATACATAATCTGTCAGTTCTGGCTAGACAATTTTCTCTTTATACAATTAGTCTTGATCACGCACCGCTCGCAAGGACATTTTAGAAGCCGGTCTATATTTTCGTTTGTGCAGGTCTGTGAGATAATAAGATCATACACCGAGTGTTACGACGTATTCGTATATAATTTAATCCCATCTTTATTCAGCGCGTAAATTCTGATGCATCTAATGCATTCGTTAATGTAAAAATACGAATTTATAATGGACTAGAGATTTTTTATAAATATTTTTACATTAAAAAATTAATTTTCAAACGTATCCCTGAAAATGTTTGAAGGGTTTTAAAGTTTTCTTATAAATTAATCTTTTTTTTTTAGTTTTCTCAGACCGTGTCAAGTATGCGACGATGATTGTGATGCAGAGTTACCTCAGCCATGTATATGGGGAGAAGCTAGAGATGAATGTGGTCGAAGAATTTGTACAAAGGTATTTTTTATTAAAATATTGTATTCCACTTCTTAAATGCCATCACCACAATTTTTTATTACCGCAATTGTTTCCCTACTACAATGTCACATGTGGATTGTTAGAATCACAGCGTATTCATAACCAGCCTGCCAACTTACGAGCATTTGGATGGAAATCTGGATACTTATATCCTTCTTATATCTAAAGACTGTTCAGCCATCGTTTGCCGTTACGTCATCATTATTTTTCAAATATGAGTTTTAGGGTGTGTCTGAGATCAGTTCATATTGTTTAGAAAATTTTACGTACGTTCCTATATTATTATGTTTGTTCCAACCGGACGAGAGAACCGTCCTAGAACGGTAATTTCCTATCAGTCAATTCATTTGTTAATCTTGACAAATGATCAAACTTTTCAAACAATAAGTGGGCGACTAGAAATTACCGTCTCAGGATTCTCAGTCCGGTTTGAACGAACCTATTGATTAAGCAAGTTCCGTTCTTTTCGGCATTTATTCATTTTTCTTGAACTCTTCATCAGTTACAATCCTTTGGACAGTTGAAATTTCTATTTCTAAGGCAACAGCAATTCGCTATATTCTTTAAAAACGCTGTCAATTCGTATTTTACATATTGATATTACACCTTGACATTCATTTTTTAGCCGACCATACCAACAGGTATGGTAAGTTATTAAGATCGGTAAAAAAAACGTTTTTTTAATTTTACTCAAAGTGAGTTATTTGGGTCATAAATGACCTAAATACAAAATATTATTTTCATGGTGTCTGCCTGTCTGTCCGTCTGTATAATTCAAAAACCGCTAAACCGATTTTAACCAAATTTGGCACAAAAATACTGTGGCACCCAAGAATCTGGCCATTAGTTTTTGGTGGGGGTGGGGGTTGATAAGGGTGTATGGGAGGGGGTTAAAAATTTCAAAAATCGTAACTCCAAAATTACAGTAGCTAGCGAAACGCGGTTTTCAATTTAAGATTAGGAATAATATTCGCAACAAAATTTGTAATAACATCAAAATCAAAGTCGCAGTTTTTGAGATAAAAAAATGCTTTTTATACGTGCCTCCCGGCGCCAATTTTTTTTACTTCATATACGGCGTCCACGAGCGTCTCTTTCTGGAGAAAAATAATTATAAGCTTAGCAATGGAGTTCTTGTTCATTTTGGTTGGTCTTTGAGGCAGTTTTGCAATAAAAAAAATTGAATTTTGTTTTACAGCAACAATTTGGCAACAATCAAATTTTAATTTTGACATTGATCGATGTCCGTCAATAAAATTATAACCCCAAATGAAATGATAATGATAATTACTAAAAGGAATATGCAGTAATGCATATTCAAACCAAACCAAACCAAACCAAACCAAACATTTGCACTTATTTAAGACTCACCCTGTATATTAAAAATTTAATTGTTTTTGGAAAAATAAATTATAAAACTGCCATGCTTAGAGGTGCATGTTAGATAGTCGCTTATCTTATTTAACAAATAAGACAAAGTCTGAGATTGATTAATTGAGGGTGCATCCACATTATCCTAGAAAAAGCGGATCAGCGTATCGGCGTAACGATCTTGAAATGATTTCCAGTAATTCTATTGGCTGAAATTTTTGACAGCCAGAAAAATTACTGGAAATCGTTTCAAGGTCGTTACGCCGATACGCCGATCCGCTTTTTCTAGGATAATGTGGATGCACATTGAACCATCGTGTAAAAAACGACCAATAGTGTTTCTCTGACTGCTGGTAGAGGTGTTCACTATGATAGACGCAGTAGGAAACATTCGAAATACTCAAAAACAAATGAAGATGGGCAGCTGGTATTGAATGGGCTGTGTACGAGTATAACTACTTTTTGCTCATTTCTTTATTAAATTATTGATTGATAAATTGACTGATCTATTGAATTATCAATTTTAGGGACCTGGTGAACGCTGCGGTGGAAAGTTCAACATCTTGGGCAAGTGCGGTGAAGGCATGATGTGCAAATCAGACGAAAGATGTCACGGCTGTTCCGTCCAAACCCTGGAGTGTTTCAACGGCTAACGTCTCGATCTCAACACGCAACTACCATCATCAGTATTACGTGGCGTAACTGTTTCCCATTGTTTTTAGTAGTTTTTAATTCGTCAATTGTCAATTTTTTGTTCTACTCGTTTAAATGCTGTGATTCGCGTCGTTTTGTTTTATCTATTTCTTTTTTTACCGACTCGTGGAAGTGATAAGATAGTGTGGAACATCACACCTAGATGGCTGATACAACTAAACACTGACGACCTCTTAAGTGACTAAAAAAATTGTGCCCAATATTATGTAGAGACGATGTAATTTTATGCATACTTTTTTTTATTTATGGTATTTTTAACCCATACTGGTTAGAATTTTTTTTGTAAAGATATTTGTTATCTTGGGTTTATTTGTGATAAAATTAACCATAAGTGCTTTTAGGATTCAATCCTTCAAAATGTCAGTTAATATTATTTATTTTATAATATAACTTACAAAAATATTGCTCTCTTTATTACATAAGTAAATATGAAGATAAACGATAAAAACATGTAATAAAAAGAACGAGAATTAAAATATAAAATTATAATAATTTTTGACGCATAAATTGATATAATTTTGTGATAAATACTTTTAATTCTAATGCAACTCTAACAAACAACATATATATTATTGTACATATAAAAACCGATCTTGTACTGTCTTATAGCTCTCTTCCGAATAATTTTAAGGCCAAAAACTTTAGATTATAAGTTTTTATTTTGTATTTAAGGGCAATTCTATAGTACAAATATAAAATAGTGGGAAAGACAGACTACTATTATTAATCTAATATATAGGAGAACTAATCGACGAAATCAAATTAATGAAGTTTTGTTCAATTTCACGTTACACACTTTTTTTAAAATAACGTTTTTTCATTTTTTTGTAATTATGTAGTTACGCTACTGAAAACTGTGCACTAAAGTATATTTAATGTGATTATATGAAAATGGACTTAATATGCTTTTATCCTGTTAAATTTAAATAACAGGAAAATGCAAGTTCTGATCTGATCGTTATTTATTTTGTTAATCTACTAGACATGCATAATATTTGATATAATATAGGACTGCAAATTTCTACTATTTTGTTTTATTCTTGAACCTATTTATATATTCCTATCAAATGCAAGGGCCAATAATCCCAATTACCAACCAAATTGTTACCAGTTGGCACCAAGACTATATGGCCAGTGCTGTACCAGAGGGTTTATATAAAAATGCAAAATTAAATAAAAATCGCAATTTAAATGTTTCTTGAATTATTATCCGATGGTTATTAATTTTATGTTTTACACGTCTGCCTTTTATAATAAAATTGATTACTCAACTTTTTAACTCAAAAAAAATTAAATGTTATTAGTTATCAACTAAATTGGGGAGAGTTTACAGAATTTAATTTAGTATTTACTGTCACGAATTATTATTAGCTATAAATAATATTTATTTATTTATATTTTTGATAAAAGTTTGGCCTACGCCTATGGTGGATGCAGCCTATTTAGGTGGTGGTATGCCAATTATTTGAAGAAAACGAGTGGAAAATGTATTAAGACATTTACAGATGGTACAAATCTTGTATAGACTTTTATGCCCAATATCTAGTACATATCATAGTATACCTACTATAATAAAAATAATTATCAAACTCAATAAAAAAGCTATAAAGGTAGAGTGCAGCAAATTAATTTTTATTTACCTAGAAACGTAATTCCTGGCTCTTTCACAAAATAAGCTCTTTCTTCTTGCTGCGGCATTTACACTTAAAATCTGAACAAATCGCTATTGTAATAAAGTTTATACAAAGTTCACTACACACAACAAACTATAAAAATCGCTAAAATAATCCTACTCCTTTGTTTGCCACCAAAAACATGGCGTCCTATACAGGGTCCGGCAATAGTGCGTCGGGCATTTGTAGCTCCTAGAATAAAAAACTTGAGAATTTTGTTTAAGTGCGAACCTAAAGTCTGTACTAGGATGTTTTTCAGGAAAATATTTTAACTTCTATAGGGTGGCCCAAAAAAGTATGAGTGGATCTGGATGATTTTTTTAAATGGAATGTTATTGCATTTTCGGCTTCCTTTCTGATCACTTTACATAATCCTAAGATCTGAGTAAATATATATGTCGATAGTTTCAGAGATATTAAAAAATAAATAAAAAATATATCATTTTCAACCGTGCTTAAAAAAATATTAAAAATACAAGAACTGTTCTGAAATCAAAACTATATTAGGTATTTACTTTAGATGGTCTGTTCTTACTTTGTTATATGGCAGTCGTAAATAATACAGGATGTTCAATAATCTATGCCAAACTTTCTAAAATATAAAATATTTTTCTTTGTTTTTTAAATGGAACACCCTGTATATTATTTTTTTAATAGATCTATCTATCTATCTATTCAGCCTCTTCGGTCCATCGTTGGACATAGGCCTCCCCCAATCTCTTCCACTCTTCCCTCTCTGTCGCCATGCTCATCCATCTTGTGCCTGCATGTTTCTTCAGATCGTCCGCCCATGTCATCAGGGGTCTTCCTCTACTTCTTCTATTCTCCCAGGGCCTCCAGTTTACCGATGCATTTGTTCCATCGATCATCCTTCTGTCTGACATTGTGACCGGCAAACTTCCATTTCAATTTTGCTACTTCACTTCTAACATCCCTTACTTTAGTTTTTCCTCTGATCCACTCATTCCTTTTTCTATCTGCCAGCCTTATATGTAGCATTTGACTTTCCATAGATCTTTGAGATTTGATTACCTTATCCATATTCGATTTCGTCAGTGTCCAGGTCTGGGATCCGTAAGTAAGTACAGGGAGTACACATTGATTATATACTTTGGTTTTGAGGTACTGTGGATATCTTTTGTTTTTTAATATGTAACTTAATTTTCCAAATGCTGCTCAGGCCAGTCTTACTCGTCTCTTTATTTCAGCTGTTTGGTTTTCTTTTTTCAGTTTAATCATTTGTCCCAGATATATATACTCTTCAACTTGTTCTATTTTTTCTTGGTTTATTCTGGTTGTTATGTTTTCATCTGTGTTTGTTATGATTTTAGTTTTAGTGTAGTTCATATTTAGGCCTATTCTTCTAGCTGCTGTATCCAGTTCTTCCAGCATTTCTATCAGTTCTTCTTTCTTTTCTGTTATTAAGGCGATTCCATCCGCATATCTTAGGTGATTCAAGTATTGTCCACATATTTTGATACCTTTTTCTTCCCAGTCTAAATTTTTGAAAACGTCTTCTAATGCCTGGTTAAAGAGTTTAGGGGATATTGTATCGCCCTGTCTGACACCTCTTCCTATGCGAATTGGCTTTGTTCCTTCGTGGATTTTAATGGTTGTTGTTGCTTCGCTATATATGTTGGCTATTAAGTCTGCGTATCTGTAGTCTATCCTGCTATTTATTAAGGAAGTTTTTACTGCCCAGTGCTCAATACTATCAAAAGCCTTTTCAAAATCTACAAATGCAATATATAGTGGGATGTTGTATTCATTGGCTCGTTCTATTAGTATTTTCATAGTTAATAAGTGGTCGACTGTACTGTATCTTTTTCTGAAGCCTGTTTGTTCTTTTGCTTGGTATCCGTCAAATTTTGTTGTTAGTCTATCGGTTAATATTTGCGTGAAGAGCTTATAAATTACATTAAGGAGTGTTATAGGACGATAGTTTTTTAGATCTGCCTTCTCACCTTTTTTATGTAGGATGATGGTTATAGATTCCTTCCAGTCGTTTGGGATTATTTTTTCTATTAGGATTCTATAGGAGAATATGAAGAGTATTAACTACAGCTTTTCCGCCGTACTTTAGCATTTCTGTTGATATTCCGTCTTTTCCAGGTGATTTGTTGTTTTTCATTTTCTTCAATGCTCTCTTAATTTCCGATTTGCTTATTTCAGGTTGTAGTTCTGAGTTTTGAGTTTATAGTTCTGAGTTTACGTAAACTTTTCAATAGATGAAGATTTAAAAAACGAACATATTTTTTATTTAAAGTATTTCAAAATTTTTAATAGTTTTTCAGATACACGCAGTATTATTTCATATTATGGCGCTTTCAATAGTAAAATACGAGAGAAAAATCACTGGGTGGCTTTGATAAAAATTTACTGTGGAAAATGCCATATGAAATATAAAATCGCGAATATCTGCGAAACCGTTAAAAATTAATAATAATAAAATTGATACTTTAAATACAAAAAATATTTATTTTTAATTCTCAATCTATTGAAAAAATAATATACAGGGTGTTCCGTTTAAAAAAAAGAAGAAAAATTATTTTATATTTTAGAAAGTTTGGCGTAGAATTTTGAACATCCTGTATGATTTACGATTTCCATATTTATAGCAAAGTACAGACCATCTAAAGTAAATACCTAATATAGTTTTGATTTCAGGACAGTTCTTGAATTATTAATCATTTTTTTAAGAAAGGCTGAAAAATATATAGTTTTTATGTATTTATTAATATCTTGCTGAAATTACAGAAATATATTTACTCATGTCTTAGGGTTATGAAAAGTGAACTGAAAGGAAGCCAAAAATGCAATAATATACAAAGTGTTCCATTTAAAAAAACTCATCCCGGTCCATTCACACTTTTTTGAGCCACCCTATAGAAGTAAAAATATTTTCCTGAAATACACCCTCCTACATACTTTAGATTTACACTTAAACAAAATTCCCAAGTTTTTTATTCTATAGCTTTGTTTGGGTTCTTGTTATTACCGATTCTGAACCGTCCTAGAACTATGATGCGTATGCGCAGAAGGAAATATGAAGGCATTATTGCATTTGCGCATGCGCTGCAGAGTTCTAGGACGGCTCAGAATCGGTAATAACAAGAACCCGAAAAAAGCTAATAGGAGCTACAGATGCCTGACGCACTATTGCCGGACCCTGTACAATGTAACATAACATATACCTTGCTCCACACCTATATGTGTGTCCTTCTCTTCTTGAGTCATTGATTCCGAAATACATGTTGTAGATTATTATAGCTAGGGCTTGGAATCTTTGGTGTTACAACAGCAAAATGAAATAGCATAAGAATTTACTTTTAACACTGGACGCGCTTCAGCTAACCTTGCATCATCATTAGACGATTAAAACAATTCTTCTAAGTTTTAATCACCTGCTGATGATGCTAACATAGTTAACGAAAGCGCGTCCAGTGTTAAAAGTCAAGTATTTTAGTGTATTGCGGTGAATTAGTGATTTATTTTTCTATATGTTCATTCTTAAATGAAAAAATCTTCCTAGATGTTAAGGTAATGAATTTTCATACAACAAACTTTCATACCCCATTCTACCCCCTAAGGGTATGCATTTCTTAAATTCGCTTTATAACTCGGCAACCTTTGTGCCAATGTCTAAGGAATTTTCGTCACAATAGTGTGTAACTGTGCCATCTATCTTATCCAAAGTGAAATACATATTTTTTCGTCACAATAGTGTGTAACTGTGCCATCTATCTTATCCAAAGTGAAATACATATTACTAATAAAAATATATTATTGAAGAAAACGATTTTAGATATACATAAATCAAAATAATCTAGCTGAAAATTAGGTCAGTCAATTAATATTTTTATTCCCTTTTTTGACGATTTTGTCTATACCAAGCTTTACTATAAATACCTTGTCATATTCTACCTCACAAAATTTGTTTCTAAAATTATATGTTAATGACAAAATGGCGAAGGAGATTTAAAAATATAGTTTAAGCATTATTCATGTCATTATCATAATATGTCTCTAATATCCCCTTAAATTTAGTTATTTTTCCTTACTTGTCAAAATGGAACATTAAAGTTTTTCCCTTTTCATGAACTAAATAAAGCCTTATAAAATATAATATCTAAGTTGCCTTAAATCTATATTAATATATAAAATCCTTAAGTGACTGACATACTGATTAATCACGATCCTGCTCAAACCACTCAACGTAAGAAGCTCAATTTTGGCATACAGGTTGATTCTAGGGTGTAGAGGTTCGATAAGAAGGGATTTTTCGAAATTCCAGTTCCAAGAGGGTGAAACCTCCCCACAAATATTACAATATTTTTTATTTAAAAAACATTGATTAATCACGATCCTGCTTAAAGCGCTTGACGTAAAAAGCTGATATTTGGAAAACATATTGACTTTAGGGTGTAGAGGTTCGAAAAGAAGGGATTTTTCGAAACTCGAATTCTAAGGAGGTGAACTATCCCTCAAATATTAAAATATTTTTTATTTAAAAACCGGTGACTTTTTCGGAAAAACTCTTAAACGCGTATATTTTATTTTATTGTTTTACATATTTTAAGATTTTTTATAAATTTATACAGGGTGTTTCATAAAATGTGACCATTGATTAATCACGATTCTGCTTAAACTGCTTGACGTTTAAAGCTGATTTTTGGCAAACGGATTGACTGTGGGGTGTAGAGGTTCGATAAGGAGGGGTTTCTCGAATCTCAAATTCCAAGAGGGTGAAAACCCCTCAAATATTACAATATTTGTTATTTAAAAAACGGTTAGTCTTTCGGGAAAACGCTTGGACAAGCATAATTTATTTGGTTTTTTTACATATTTTGAAATTTTTTAAAAAATCATACAGGGTGTTCCAAAAAGTTGGGTAATTTCTTAACCACGATTCTGCTTAAACTGCTTGACGTAAAAAACTTATTTTTGGCAAACGGATTTTTCGAAAGTCAAATTCCAACGAAATGAAACTACCCCTCAAATATTACCAAGTTATATAATAATATCGCCATATTGTTTTTTCTCATGCTGACATAAATGTGAAAAAATTTTATCCAGTTTGTATGTTAATGGAAATTCTTGCTTTGCTTTATCATCACCATTACAAATGATTAATTCGACGCGAACGAAGTCGCTTGTACACGCTAGTTTAGTTATAAATCGATTTTAGATTTGTAGAAAGATTTATAGAGATTTTATAGCGACTGTCGCCTGGCGTGCCAAAACGAATCAACAAATCGTAAAGCTTCACCGTTGCAACAGTTTTGTTATATCTTTAGCAAAACAAATATAAACGAACTTGTACCGAATTTCTGAGGCATTTCACGGCCAAATGGTGAAAATAACGGCTCTCCACAAAGTGACACACACCAGCCAGAATCCTAAGCTCATCTGTAAAAACATTCTTGTTTATTACGAACGCATATTAGTGGCGTCGACTGACTTAACTTTATTATATTATGCGACCTAAATTAAACAGAATTAAAATGCACAAGGCCTTTCATTACATTTATTTTTATGATATTTCTCTAAAAAAATATCGCTAAGTCCTTAAAATATAAATCAGTAAGTAACATTGGAAATGCTAATTAATTCCCTAATTCTAATATCTTTGAAAAACATTAAACTAAGTATAATCTATTGTTAATATAATAATACAGCCTGATCAAAAAAAACAACGTCATGGTAGGGCCGTGGACCTAGAAATAACACTTCAGCTCGAGTTGTACCAGTCTGTGTAGCTTTTCACTTTGAAATTTTATTACATTAAAAAAAGTCAAACAAAACAATTAAGTACAGGTACACCTGTGGTATAATTATCATTTAGTCACACTGTTTTATTTGCATGCATTCGATTATGATTACTACAAATTAAATTCGTAACTAAAACTTAAAAATTCTGTGCTTTGATCATGACTTCACTAGATACTCATCTAATATACTCTTATAACTTACAGTAAGTTGTGAAATGTGTATTTTAAATACTTTTTTAATGAGAATGTATAATTATTCTTTTCTTGTTTGAAAAACAATTAAGTAAATAGTTTTGATCCGATTTTGAAACATCCAAATATTATTTTATATCAAGTATGGTTTAACGTAGCATTTGGAATATTGTTTCCTGTAGGGACAAAACTATTAATTATTATAAACATTTCTAGGCAATCTGTGCTGAAACAGATCAATTTGTTTGTTTCTTCTGTCTTCGTCTCACCAAGAATCCTCTGACGCCCGCTTGAATTTTGACAGCCGATTTTTCTTCTAAATCATCCTTTTTGTTGTCACCTGAAGAATTCTTCCTCCTCAGAGGTTTTTTGGGGTTCGTTTTATCAGCTGTCGTCTTCTAGAAATAAAATATCCATTAGATATTTATATCTGATGTCTGAAAAAACGGAGTTATTTTACTTTGAAAATTTCCAAAAAAAATATTTTTTGCTAAAATTTTGAAAACCACTGGATCTTTTCTGAATTTTCTTTTTTGTAAATTTAATCTAATACTTATATTGCCATATTATCAAGAAATAATGTTTTGGAATAAAAACTAAACAAATTTCGAAAAAAAATTTTAAAAAATTTCGAATTTTCAAAATTTTTTTTTCGCGAAAAAAACCTCATATGTGTGTTTCTAGGGTTGAACTATATTACCAGTTAAAATACTTGCACTTATTTCTGGGACACCCTGTATATTATAAACGTGTAAGTTTCTTTTGTATGAATTTTGTATGTTAGTTACTCTTTCACGCAAAAACTACTGAATAGATTTTAATGAAACTAACAATAATATAGCTTATACGTACATCAGAATAATATAAATAAAAAAATAAAAAGATAAATACCAGGAGACCAACAAAATAGACACATATTTAATAGGTACTTTCAAATAATGCAATTATATGCTATAATAAATATTATACAGGGTTCGGTAGGGTGCGTCGAGTATCTGTAGACCCTATATAATGAAAAACTTAGGATTTAGTATAAATGCAATCCTAAAGTATGTATTAGGATGTATTTCAGGAAAATATTTCAACTTCTATAGGGTTGTTCAAAACAATGTGAGTGGATCGGGACGATTTTTTAATGGAATACCCTGTATATTATTGCACTTTTCGCTTCCTTTCTGATCACTTTACATACTCCTAAGATGTTATTAGAAATATGTTTTGTTAGGTTAGTTTCAGAGATATTAACAAATATAAAAGAGATATATATTTTCGGCGTTTTTTAAAAAAAATTAAAAATACCAGTAATGTCCTGAAATCAAGACTTTACTAGGTATTTACTATAGTTGGTTTCTACTTACTTTGCTATAAAAATCGTATTCTGAAACAATACAGGATGTTCAAAATTCTATGCCAAACGTTCTAAATGGAACATCCTGTATATTATTCCTTTGTTATATGAAGGATTTAAAAATAAAAGTTTTTTGTATTTAAAATATTTTAAAAGTTTTCGCGGTTACGCAAATGTTCGCGTTTATATTGCATATAACTCTTTCAACGGTAAACTACCAGAAAAAAATTATTAGGTGGCTTGATAAAAAATTACTGTTGAAAAATCAATATGTAATATATTTTAACGAATATCCGCAAAACCCGCAAATTTTGAAATACTTTAAATACAAAAAATGTATATTTTTTAATCCTCCATCTAACAAAGGAATGATATACAGGATGTTCCATTTAAAAAAAAAATAAAATAAACTATTTTAAATTTTAGAAATTTTGGCTTTGAATTTTGAACAGCTTGTATGCATTTAATATTACTTTAACATACTATATTTATAGCAAAGTAAGTACAGACCAACTATAGTAAATACCTAGTAGAGTTTTGATTTCATGACATTTCTTGTATTTTTAATATTTTTTTAAGAAATATTGAAAAGATATTTTTATTTATTTATTAATACCTTTGAAACTATCAAAAAAAATATAATAATATCTAGGAGTATGTAAAGTAATCAGAAAAGAAGCCAAAAGTGTAATAATATACAGGGTATTTCATTAAAAAAAATCATCCCGATCCATTCACTCTGTTTTGAGCCACCCTATAGGTATAAGTTAAAATATTTTCCTGAAATACATCCTAATACATACTTTAATATTGCATATATACAAAATTCCTAAGTTTTTTATTATATTTATAATCTACAGATGCTGGACGCACTATTGCCGGACCCCTGTATAATATTAATAATATAATAATAGCTCGTATATAGCGTTTAACGCCTTGGGAGTAGCAAAAGTATGGCATAAAAATAAAATTTGAATTTTATACGGACGAAGTCGCGGAAAAAATCTAGTACTTAATAATTCAAAATAATCAGAAGTTATATCCAACAAAAAAATTAATAACATAAAAATGCAATTATGAAAAAATGTTCATAAGAAATAGTAACGTAAGATGATGTCTAATTTCTTATAGTTACAAAGTGTCAAAGTGAACAACACGTGCACAACAAACACAAGTGCACAACAAAAACACTTGGGCGCAATATTGGAAGAAAAATATGTTCTGCATATGATGATGTATACCTCTTTATTCTCCTGTCAATAAAACACATGTATGTCATTCTATTTGTACCCATTTTTTTATTAGTTTATAATTTAATAGCCTTTCTTAACAACTTAATGATGTTTTATAATGGTTTAACGATAAGTATTTTATGGTAAACGTCTTTAATTAACACCATTTAGGAAAAGCAGTCTTGTAAAAAAATACACAATAATGTAAAATATTGTAAACAAAACGATTAGTCTTTGGCACAAAAATGGTTTTATGGAGTTGAAAGTTGAGTATTTTATAAACGAATATTGACAGAAAAAAAAAGATAACTAATCCTTGCAGGTTCCTAGAAACACACACTTTATATAATTGTTATTTTCTTTATAAACTTAACAGAAAAATGAAATTAGATCAACCACGTCAATAAATATGGTTTGTCTGAAACCATTTTAATAGTAGCTACGAAATATTTTATGACATGGCGTAATATATACCAGGATACAACTGAACTTTTTAGCTACCTCATATACGCAATGCTGCTATCAAAAATTGTTGCAAATTTATTTTCTTCGTGAGTCTACAGGGTAGTTCAAATTGTATTCGGGAAACTCCGGCCACATATTCTGCAGATAAAAATAAGTAAAAAAGTTCGTATAAATTCATGTCCGAAAATTCTTCGTTTCTGAGATACAGAGTGTAGCAGCTTCATTTTTATTTCGGGGTTTTTCCTAATAATTTCTGAATTATAGTCGATATTTGGATGAAAATCTGCGTGTGGGTGTTTTTTGACATGAGAAATTTGATTTTGGTGCTAATGTGACTACTACTTATAGGGGAGGCCACCTACATGTTTATTAACTGTTTTCAAGGGTAATAGCTTTTTGTCCGTACTGGTATAAAACTACTGAGTGAAAAAAAATATATATCCTTCATTTTTTACGTAATAAAGGGCTCTTGGTAAAAATAGCTACGAGCAACTATTCTCAAGATATTTGGAATGAAATAGTCAATAAATATTTCATTATTGACAAAAAATAAACATATTGAATACATAGTTAAATATTTAGGAACTTTTTATATTTTCAAATTAATCATAATTCTTTGTTTTTATATAAAAAATTATGATGAAACAGTTTTTGTTGAACCATTGGCACAAAAACGTTTCTTAAATTATTATTTCTAATAACTCTAATAACTATCCAGTCAACATGTTTAATATTTGTCAATGGTTTATGAGTCCACATATCTTGGAAACCATTACTAGTAGAGATTTTTTACCAAGTAATCTTTTTACATAATATTTTTCTCGGTAGTGTAATACAGTTAGGTACAGTCGAAATATTATTATGCTTCAAAACAGTTAAAACGTATGTAGGTGGCGCCCCCCCTACAAGTAGGAGTCATACTGGCATAAAATCGAATTTCCCATGTCAAAAAAAACCATATTTTCATCAAAATATCGATGTTAGTTTAGAAATTAGTTGAAAAAAATCGAAATAAAAATGAAATTTCCACAACCTGTATCTCAAAAACGAAATATTTTGGGACGTGATTTTATACAAACTTTTTTACTTCTTTTTATCTGAAGAATGTGTTGGCAAAGTTCCCGGTTACAATTCGGATCACCCTGTATATCTCGAAAACTTAATAAATGATTTAAAAGGTAGAAGATAGTTTTGAATATATATTTTATTTATCTACCCAAGCAGTATTTGGACGTCGGGAGAACGTTGTGTCACGCGACCAATTCGCGACGTCGGCACAATCTCGTGCCAACCCTAGTCTGCACTAGTTTGGAGAATAATTTTTGGGTCGAAACGACGTTGGATACCGACGTTGGCTAGCAGCCTAATTTAGTACAAACTGCAACGTTGTTTAAAATCCTAATTCACAGAAATACAAAACTATAATAATATGGCGTCTAAGTCGCGTTTTATCCTAAATTGGGATAATATAGTAAAAATATTATTTTTATGATTTAGTTAGAGACATATGCCGGATGGCAGAAAAGGAAAACAAAACAAAAGTATTTAAGTGTGGAGGATGTTTGAAGATCATAATTATTGAAACACTAACCGACTCTGTAACTCGTTACCCAAGGCAAAAAAGTTAAACGAAAACAACTTTATTGATAAATATATTGTTTCTACTTTGAAAAATACTAATGGGCCTTAAAATTAAAGAAGTTTTAAAAAATTTCTTGAATTTTTTTTAGTAAAATGAGAATAATTTATTCGCAGTCGAAAAAATTGTTTCCGCGTGGTGTTTAGGGCCAAATATTTCAAGTTAATGTATTCAAAAAGCAGGAATTGCTATTTTAGGAACGAAACATTTTCTTATTCAACAACATGGCGACTTTCACTTTGTTGTTTTGGAGATTAAGATGGAGTAGTTCGAGTAGTCGCATACTGGACTAATAAAGTCGCAGTTCATCCTTAACAGGTAGTATACTAGTCGCAAGATTGCCTAATTTAGTCATCCTAGAATCTAGCTTGTGCCGCCCTCTATATTCTAAATAAACGAGGGAGTGAATAAAGTATCGGTAATATGTCGATATATATTTAAATTTAGTTTTATATGTACCTTTCTTATGTCCCATTTTAATTAAGTTTTTTTATAAAAACAAAAACAGCACCGAACTGTCTGACTGAACAGAACAATGAAGTGAAAATTTAAGATTTAAGGTTATGGTTCAATACAGTTGCAAAAAGGTAGTGGCTCGACGTCCTACCAACGTAAGAATAAGGAAATCTAAACAACGTTGGAATTAGTAAAACAGACGACGTTTGCATAACGTTGGAATAGGTCCTGAAAGTGACGTCGGAAAACTCTTTATTG